TGAAAAAAAGAACGAAATCGTGCTTGGCATACCATTTATGTACGAATATTGCTTGCATCTTAATGATATCGATGGAACAATCGCATTTTCAAAGCCTCTACGCTTCAACTTTAGAAACGATCCAAAACATGATGTACCAATTGTGGAAAAGCCGGATGTGGTACATGTTGTTTCCCCGGATGAGACTGTTATCCCGGATATGTCGTCCAGCCCTCCAGGTAAGGCAGATTCTATCTGATACAGATTACTGTTCAGTGATTTCACAATCAATCTTGGACTTGCCAGCATCTGATAGTTCATTGCTAAATTATGGTTTAAAAATTTTAACACTTTTCAAAAGAGAGAACAATTTTGGCATTTTTTTTTCCAAGTAATTTGTCGGCGTATTCTCGCCTAATACGACAAACACTTTAACTCACCATGAGAGATATAACACGCATTTGGTGAAAAAGAGGACGCAGTACATGATTAAGGCACTAATCTGAAATGCTAATTTGATTATGTCGTATTTGTAAGTATAACTTTAGGTAATTAATTGTTGATGGCGAAGTGTAATATAATACAGCAAAATATCCAATGTAATAAATTCAGAATATGAAAGTAAAACAAAGTTGCAATTTAAAGTGTCTGGAATAGAATAAATCAAAAATCAAACTCCTGCTACACATTTCACAGTCCATTTGAAGCGGAAAAACTTGATTTATCGTCAGTTGCTCCACATTCCTCTTCTACTAAGAGCCAAAAGTAAATATCTATAAGCTCCACGGCTATTGACGCCTTATCTTTCCAGGAGCGCTTGAAAGGAATCTGAGACGATGCTGCTTCCCAAATACTAGTACCTGTTGACCACTAATGCAGATAATGCTATAAGAAAAATATAATCTCGTCGCAAAACTTTTTCTACATAATTTGTAAAAAAAGCGAAAGAGATTGGCACCACTGCCTGCTTCGATATCCAATAAACTAACTACCGTACTATGAACCTACAAAAATGCAGTTTTATTGGTACACACTCTTTTGAATGGAAATATTCTTTACTAGCTTGTTTTTTGAGGATTTTGGACTTGGTTGCTTTACGGTAACTTGCCTGTATATCCCAGTGTTGAAGAAGAAGAAGCGTGGTAACGGTTTTATTTTTTAGAGTTTTAAACTAGAATTAAATTCTCTGGCTAATGCTGTTATTAATTTTTAATCGATACCCCAGTGAATAGTTAAATCTTCAGATTCTTGGGTCTTATGCACTACTTGATGAGCACAGTCTGTTTCAAAAATAATTTATGAATTTGATATGACAGCTTTTGCAGGAATACCAGACAGAGTTTTCCGGAATGGTATGATTTCCTGCCCTAACAAAGAAGAGCGAAGATGCGATTTATTCAATGTGCTGGCTTCATTATGCATAAAACTGAAAGCATCCGGGAATAGAACTGTTTTACCTGTAGAGATGG